TACAAATACACCATTTTTAAGCGTCTTAGGAAATCACGCCGAGGTATGAAGGTCAGCGTCGACTGACACGACGCCGAGTCCTTGCCACGTCACCGACGACTCCGGGGCTGGCGCATGGGGCCCAGTACATTGGCGTCGTGTCAGCCAACGCCACAGGCCTAAATTCGGCGCTGTGGGGAGTCACGCCGAGCTCTTGGCACCATCCGGTGCGCGGCCCAGGCGGCCCAACAACGCTTCGTGGGCCAAGAGGTCGGAGTGCGATCAGATGACGTCGAGACGCCTCGGTGCGGCCCGACTCAACGCCGAGGTTGGGTCAGTTGAGGCCGCGCCGCGGCCCCCTTCTTCCTCCTCCATTCAGAACCAACAGGTGGCCATTTCCCACTCCCTCTCTCTTCCCACGAACCCTAAATCCTAAATCCAGCTCTTGGGAGGTCAGATCAAGGGTTTTGATGTTTTGCCGAGGTACTCCTCTTTCTCCTCTTTCATTTCATCCATTTAGATTTGGTTCTTTGTGTTTTTTTTTTGAACTTGGCATTATAGGTTTGGTTCATGTTCATGTCATTCGTGCAATGTATGGTGGTTCAAATGATTGAAAACCCTAGGACTTTTTTTATTATGTTGTAATGCACTATGCTTTTATTTCAGATGGTCTTATGCCATGTACTTCGTTAACTATCTTAGGACTGTAGTGCTACTGTTTGTATTACTGAAAAGGCTACTTGTGCTGTTGCAGTCACTGAAAGGGCTACAAATAATGTTGTAGTCAATGAAAAGTCTATTTGAAAACTCACTGAAAAGCCTAGATTCGTTTACTGTTGTATCCGTATACGCAATGAATTAATATCAGAGTGATGTACTGCATTTAGATGAAGTGACAAAACACAGGTGTAGCCTTTTCAAATGAAATGACCAGTCATGGTTGTAGGCTTTTCAGATGAAGCATCTAGCCTTTGCAGATTCAATAAATGAGTACGCACATAAGTTTTTTGTCAAGTAGCATTCATGGTGAACCTGCCTTCATCTCTATATATATAGTGCTCCATGTCTTGCTCCACATCCACACAACTTGTTTTCTGGTTTAGTTTTAGCAAATGTCGAACGGAGGTTCCTCGAGTGGAAAGGGTTTCGGCGGAGGGAGAGGAAAGGAGGTGAGGAAGGGACCTCCAATTGTGTGGGAGGGTTCTCTGTGTCCTGATTCTTTTGAAGAACCAATAGAGAAATTTCCTTTGGAGAGGAAGAGTGACTTCATCCGTGAGAGACCTCTTAGATCATACGACAAGCGCATTGAAGATTGGTCAAAATGCCGCCACGGTTTGGATTGCGTTGTGCAGATGTACAACGACTGTGACGGTGGAGGCCGTCATTTCTTCAGATGCCCGCGAGGATTTGTATTTCCTTTGAACTATCTCCTTTTTTAGATTTGCATTTGGTTTGTAGTAGTACTTATTGGTAGATGGGTTTTCAGGATTCAAGCTGTCTAGATAACTGTGGCTTCACTAGATGGGTCGACCCTCCTCCTATCTATCCCCATCAACAGTACATCACATATCTACAGGGACGCATCTTTGACCTAGAGTATGGCCCTGGAAGTGGTAACAGGGACAAGTCGGACGACGACAATAGCAATGATGCAGAGGAGGCACTATGCAATAATCCGTACTGCCAGTGCCCGTACCATAAGAAGCACGGGCCTCCTTATCCACCGCCACCGCCACCGCCACCGTCAACTGGAGGATACTATGGGGAAGGCGCAACTCAGTTCAATATGTGGGAGCATTATTAGGACCAACCTTTGTTAGTCAATCTGAATGTGGAATGCTTGTATGAGTTGTTCTTTTCAATCTCCTAAGGCATCCTAGGTTTAGTTTGCGACATGCCATTGTTAGTTTTCATGTGAGTGTAATCGTTGTGCATTCGCTATTTCATAAATTGCAGTTTACCTATCTCTAAGTTTCATGTACTATGGTTGATCCCCAAACTGAAAAAAATATTTAACTCTCTCTAAAAAAGTTTACCTATCTCTAAGTTTCATGTACCATCCAGCGCTTTCAGAATGGAGGGAGGAAGAAGGGGGCCGCGGCGCGGCTTCAAGAGTTCAGACCTCGGCGTTGAGTCGGGTGCGCCGAGTCTGGTGGCTCGACGTTAAGTGACCCCGCGCCGAGCTATTGAGCCACGAAGCGTTGTTGGGCCGCCTGGGCCGCGCGCCGGATGGTGCCAATAGCTCGGCGTGTAGTCCCACCGCGCCGAGGTTGGGCTTGTGGCGTTGGCTGACAACGCCGACGTGTCGGACCCCATGCGCCACCGTGTCGCCGTCGACCGGGGTCGTCCGTGACGTGGCAAGACCTCGGCGTCGTGTCAGTCGACGCCGACCCTCATACCTTGGCGTCATGTTCTAAGACGCCTAAAAAATGGTCTATTTTCAGCAAACGTTTTGACATATGTCTTTTGTAAAAAATATTTTTAAAAGGGACCAAAATGCAAAAATTGCACATCGTACGTGCACCTAGCTCAGAGTCAGTCGTCTCACAGAACAACAAGGTCATATGCATCTTTGCAAAAATGTATAGCTAGCAGATCGGTAGTGCTTACAGTCAGCTTTGTGCCCTCTGCCGAGAACCCAAAGATGGCGCTGAGCACCCCCAGAGACCCGACCACCGCAGACACGATGATCAAGATCTTATCCATTTTTGTGGCCCTTTTATCTTCCTCCAGGGGCAAGAGATGCTTGAGACTTGAGAGGCGTGGTTCTTTTGTCTCTGGACCAACGTAGATGTCAAATGTGTGCTTATATATAGAAAAGGTGCACACTAGCAGTGATGCAGTCTTGCCGAGAGCTGCTAGCTCACTTCAGGCACACCAAGACATATATATGCTGATGAAGAAGTCGATCGTCACAAGCAAACGGGTAGAATACTAATGCAACAACCATGCATAACGTTTCTCGCCAAGTTCGGGGTAATTCCTCTACGACTATGATTGGGTTCATCAGCCCTACATATATATGCGTATCTTTTTTCTCCTCTCAGCAGCTGAATCCTGCGTCTTTGGATGTAAATGAACGTCTTTGATTAAATCCCATGCCCGCCACTCCCATCAACCACTTCAGCGTACACACAAACGGACACGCCCTCTTCCAGTGCTAACAATCAACCCTGAGTTTTGACTTTTGACGCCAAATAGAAGGGTTAAATGCGGTAATCATATTAGCTTATAATTAGCCCATGTTTAACCTCTTATCACAAGATAGGCTCATTTTAGCATTGGGATTCAGACATCCCCTAAGCTACCGCCACGTGACAAGTGGGAGTCAACCACAACTACGTCATACTCCATAGCCACCGCCAAACTGCAACCTACACCCCCCACGATCCTTAGAGTATCTTCATCAGCCTACCTAAATGGCCACATACTCTATCGCCCTGTTCGTTTGTGCATGTTTGGCTGAAAAGTCATGGCTGAAAGTAGCTGATCTGTTGTGAGAGAAAAACACTGTTCGTTGGCTTGAAAAATACGGTTTATAAGCCAAACAAGCCCAAACAAATAGGGCGTATATTTGAGTAGTAGAGCAAAAAAAAAGTTGCCTCTGATAAGCTACCTACTTGCCCTCCATATTTCTTGACTGCCCAAATCATCCGTCGCTATCCATTCCCATGGGTCAAGTAGGGGGCCTATACTTTTCCTTTCTATTCATTTCCCCACCCACGCCACGCTCGACTCCATGCCTCCGCCTGGTCCTTCGCACACACCACCCTCCTCGTCACCTCGATGATGCCTCCTCCTTGCCCAACGCCGCCTCTTCCCCTCCTAGTGTCGCCTCCACGCCTATTGCCACCTTCTCTTGGTCGGCTCCCCTACCTATCCGGCACCCACGTGCTCGACGCCTTAACCCTATCGGGCGCCCACACCCCTACAGGTTGGTATTGCACTATGTCATTGTGTATTTTTTGTGAGATATATATCACTGGGATTGCTATGAAATTTGATTCCTATGTCATTGTGAACTTTTTTTGTTCTGTATGTCATTGTGAAATTTTTTATAGTCTGTCATTGGGATTGCTATGAAATCTGTTTGCTATGTCATTGTGAATTTTTTTATACTATCATTTTAGAACACTTTGCAATGGATTGCGAAGGCGCCTTCATAGATATAATGTCAAAAGACACCAATGTGGATTCGATTTCATTGTCTGCACCTATTCAATCTACTCAATCAAAGTCGACCAAAAGTAAATGCATCCTCATCCTCATTATAGATCAATGGATAGAAGGCTTTGTGTAATCCTTGCTATTTTTTTCTTATCTTTTTTGTTTCTTGAACTTGAAGTTGTACCCTTTTGTTCCTTTTTTAAATAATAAATTCTAGTAGGGCCGTGACCCCTCCTGTTTAATAAAAAAAATGCATTTTTAAAACTCACGGACCTAGATCACACCCTTACAAGTTTAAGAGCCACTAGTGCATTTAATCTATTTATTTCTAAGGTCAGCAAGGCTACTTAGAACGTGTCAAGTCACCTAGAGACAAAGACAGAGCAAAATATAAGGTTGGAAAAGTATTTAGGGTTTAGAGAGATAAAAATGGTAAAGTTTATATATTTTGATCGATTGAATTCTCCCAGTCAACCGTGGTCCTTTATATTTATATGGTGAAAGGTCTATTCTAGAGGGAAAGTACTGATGATATATCATGAATCATCATCAAAATCGACTCAACATTAATATGGAGTCCCACGTTGACAGGGAAGCAGCTATATATATATGTATATACAGCACAACCGGGTCTTCAAAAAAAAATTCGAAGAACCGAGTCTTCACCTATATATAGTACTCGGTTCTTCGATGTGGGACTCCATGTCTTGCGGCGAGGCCCAGAAGAGAGGAAAGCGGCAATTAAGCATATCTTGATGCTTCAAAACATTTTTAGCAAAGTTTGGAGGTTTATTTAGTTTCCATTTTACACCACATTTTAAACATTCACAAGGAAGGAGCAATCATTTTTAAGTTCAAGGACCAAGTGACTCATCCACATAATGATTGTACTTAAAAAAGCTGGACACACGATAAACATCTTTTTTTACAACACACGATAAACTTGATATAACTTATCCGTTCATACAGCATAAAAACAGACCATAAGATAGGTCCTTCCTCGGCCACAACATGAAACATCTCCTTCAATTTTGTTGACAAACACAACAGAAGCCTTCCTATCTTGTGGAACCAAATATATATATTGATGTGAGTCATTCCACCGACGGAAGCCCCGTCCTGCAATACATAAATACTGTGAAAAAAGCGATCTAGATGGATGATGTTCAAATCAAACTTGCATTGATTCTGTTAGCAAGAGAAAGCTAGCATGCAAAGGTGCTTGGTAAAGTAGTTGTGCTATATACATTTATACTTAGGAAAGAATTGCCAAAAACAAACACTTGATTAAAGATGAAGTGAAATGCTAACGATTAATGTGGTGAACAACTTGCATATATGCAAGGGATAAACATGCAACCAGCAAAAATCTACTAAGCAGCTAGGTGAAAGATAGATAAATGCCAGCAGCTAGCAATTAGTATTACCTTGAGGAAAGGTACTTGGAGAACTCACTGGGGAGGAAGGGCCTGGGACCCATGGACCTTTCCTTGGTCAAGAACTCACGCTCAGTTCCAATGTCCTCCTCACCATTGATATACTGATAAAATGACTCGACGGTCCTGGTGTTCATGTCAATGGTGACCACCCACATCTTCTTCATCACGTATGTGAAGTCGCTGATAAGGAAATGCACTACATGTGGCCTGTCGATGTTCACTTGGGGGAACATGGGAACCTCGCGCGGGAGGCGATTATCAGTCCAGAGCTCATCAGAGGTGACTGTCCAGTCCTTGTTCCACACCATGCCGCTGCTTAGAGATGATGGGAGGAGGGTGTGGCAGGTGATGGTGAAGCCAGCACCGGGCTTGAGTGCCCCGTAGCCAATGCCATCATCGCGGGTGACATCGACAAACTTGAGCATACCGGCAGCATCAATGGCGGACACACCACGGTATATCCTGCCGCTGCATTCCCGTCTGATCTCGGAGGAGTACGAGAGAACTTGTGCAGAGGGAAGCGGAGGAAGGAGACGGTAGCCGCCGCCCCAAACACGTCATGGAAGAGGATGCCTCGGTCGTAGTCAATCCAGCACAGCCAGCGGTCGACAGGGATGACCGTGTCGGTCAGCCAGATGCAGAGCTGCCAGGCATCATCCGGATCGTCGCTGTGGAGGATGGGTAAACGCGAAGAGGTCCATTTGCCAGCTGACTTCAAGAACAAGTAGATGTCGGCGAAGACCTTACGCTTGCGTTTGTCCGGGTAGAGGTGCAGCTCCGCCACCGCGAACTCTTCCTCGCCTTGGCACAAGAGGCCCATGGATCTGACACTATGCAGGCGCGACATCTTCCCCGTTTCAGGAGGGCGACGAGATGGGCTGCCATCGTGGAGGACACGTTCCAAATCCCGGGTGCAAGTGGGGAGTTTTTCGAGCGAGGAAGGCTTGCCGGCGCTGTAGATGAAGAAGTTCTTACGCCGACATGGCCCCGTGGTACCGACGCGAAACAGGGCGAGATGGCGGTGGGTCGTCAACATGGCTAAGGGACTCTCCTTGCTGGGACCCGGAAAGCCCGGCAGCTGCGCGAAGATGCGGGAGATGGACGGGGGCTCCGCGAGGTCGAAGGCGAAACGGAACTGGGCTTCCCAGGAGGTGGTGCCGGACGCCCTGACGGGCGCCTTGCTCTCGTCCGGGAAAGACTTGTCGTCGTCCCTGCGGAACACGACGGGCTCCAGCATCACCCAGTTGGGGAAGCCGGCGGCGGTGGACATGGCGACCTAGCTTGAAACAGATCGCGAGATTAGGAGGGCCAAGGGGAATCTCTGTGAGGACAAATCGGGGGATTTGTAAGGTGATGAGAGGCGTGCGGGAGCGGAGGCGGCGGCGATCCGGCGGCTTCCAGATTCCAGGGACCAAAGCTGATTTAGGCCCTTGTTCGTTTTCTTGGGAATGAAACTGCAGCAGGAATGGTCCTAGGAGGGGAAAGTGACCAGGTGATTTGGTTCCGGATGTCAAGAAACAAGGAAGCAAAACTGGACGTAGATCACATAGAATGTCCAAGACTGGTCGGATTCTATTCCAGGCCAAGCTTAACCGAACGGCAATCTTTGTTGGCTGGGTTTTTGTTCCAGGTCGTTCTGAACCAGGCGGATTGGGTCTCGTTCCGGACGGTTCCGTGAGAAACGAACGAGGCCTTAGGGTTACGAATTCGTGGGTGGGTGGGTGCACTTCTATACGAGGCCATATGCAGTTTGGGCCACTGGGCTTCTATACGAGACGTGTGCCTTACCAACGGACGAACCCACCCAACAATAATGTCTAATTTCCCTGTGAGGCTCAGGTAGGCCGGCCCATGTAATGGACCTTCCTTTTGTCAATGTCACGCGTGGGGGTCATAGCTTACCAAAAAGAATTTTTATGTTTTTTCTTTTACGAATTTGCAGAAATAAATACCCGTGTAAAAAATTAGCAGATCTAGACCCGATGTAACGACGGCCGCCGTTTGGTTGGGCGGTAGGTTCCCCTAGAGCCAGTTGAAACGGCGGTAGTCATACGAAGTGGCGGTACGAATTCAAAATCAACCGCGCACGGGAAACAGGGGTGCCACGCCGCTTGAAACGGCGGGCAGCAGAAAACCGCTGTCTCATACGACGGAACCTGTCGGCTCCAGGGCCCATGCCCCTTCCACCGATTCATACGGTGGAAGCACGAACCTACCGCCGGATGACTCGGATGTTCGGATGCTAATTAGAAGAATTAAACATGAGCTAATTATAAAACTAATTGTATAACCCCTGGGCTAATTCGCGAGATGAATCTATTAAGCCTAATTAATCCATAATTAGCAAATGGTTACTGTAGCACCACATTATCAAATCATGGGCTAATTAGACTTAATAGATTCGTATCACGAATTAACCTACATCTGTGTAATTAGTTTTATAATTAGATTATATTTAATACTCCTAATTAGTATCTAAACATTCAATGTGACAGGGCTAAAGTTTAGCCCACCCTAAGCCAGACACCCCCTAATGCATCATCTATCAAGGACTCAACAACAACTCGTACACGTCTCGGCCTCTGCCTGCTGATGGCCTGATGCTGCTGCTGCTGCAGGTCGAAACTCACATGCTTGGCTTCACGTTCAGGCTTCAGCCGTGTGGCAATCTTCATCCCCAGCGACGCGTCGCACTGTCCAAGATCATGTTAATTACTTAGTAATCATCAGTGTGATATGATCAATCAAATCACTGCAGAATATAATCACGAGTAGTAAGTTGTTACCGACCTTGGAGAGGAGGTCGATCCAGATGGACCTGAGCTCCTGGCTGACCTTTGGGTGGCCCACATGACCCAGATGAGTTGGCTAACTGGTTGGTCCGGTCTAGTTGGCCCAACTAGCTCGGCGGAGTTGGATCAAGTGATGGGCATCTCTCAACATCTGGCAAGCCATCTTGAAATAACAACGAAAATTTGGAGATACTCCCTCAGTCCCGTAAATTTTGCAATTGTAAGACCTGAGGGAGGTACCAATGCACCAACGCAAATGACCAAAATACCCCTACTATTGCTCTGACATACTAAACTAGAGTTCAGCTCCATAATCATTGCACAGGATATGGCCCTAGAAAAAAATGTAGCTGGTGTTACACGTGTCTTTACACAAAGGTTGGCACAACATGGCCAGAAGACTGGAGACAAAGAAAAAATAAACAAAGCTTCCATGAACACTAGTTTGTGGCTGAGAATGATCCACGCGGTGTCCAAAATTTGAACCATCTCCAAGTGATTTCCCACCTGTGATCTCCAAGTGATTTCCCGCCTGTGCCACCCCACTTGTTAAGCTCTCCTCCAAACACCCACAAGATCATCCACTCCCATCAGCCTCCCTCAGTATAAGCTCTCCCTGCAATACCCACAAGATCATCCACTCACACCAGCCTCCCCTCCATCACCCTCGAAGCCATTTTCATCATCACCATGCCCATAGATCTCAACATTCCTCCCGATCAACATGGAGAGCTCTTACCTGATCTCAATGAAGAACCACACATGAGGAAGATGAAATCGCTCATCTCCGGGGAAGATCAACTTCATGAAGATGAAGCCCAACTTCAGTCAACATGGAGAGCTCTTACCGATCTCAATCAAAACCCGCATATGAGCAAGAAGACAAAATCTCTCATGTTCAAAAAGATCAAGTTTATGCAAATGAAGCCCATTTCAAGGTCACCCCACATCTTCATCACAATGAACGCCTTGGTATGCATGTCATCGATCTCGGCGCCACGTATCTTAGCGCCGAGCTCGGCATTCCGCAGATCTTGACGCCGAACATGAATATACTGTAGGTCCTTCGTGGTTGGGTGACGCGCCAGTGCCTCCGACATAGGGCTACATCTAGGAGTTCGCGTCACCAGCTGCAGATGCACCAGGGCCCCTCCGAATCCCTTTACGTACGGATCGGGTGCAGCAGACCAGCGCAGCAAGCAGCTGGAGCCATGAGACGTGGTCCCGTGTTTGTCAGGTCACAAGCGAGGACGTATTTTCCATAGGGCCTCCTTTATCTTTTGTAGGTCGGTGGAGGCTATGATGTGTATGATTCTGTAGACTATGATGTGTGCTCCTTTGCAGACTACATTATGTAGGTCAGTGCAGAAACTTTGATAGGTAGGCCGGTGCAGACTATGATGTCCATGCATGTCCTTTTCCTTTTATCAGTAGCGTTCTACTCCCTCCGTCCCTCAATACAGGATGTCCAAGCATTCAAAAGAAGTATCAGAATAGATGTCGTTTTAGCTCCTACTACCCTATACTTTTGAGTCTTCGAGTCACACGCAACCGTCTGGTCCATCACGTTCCTCTCTCCCACTCCACGAATAAAAAAGTAAAAAAGGAAACAACCGGTGGGAAGGAAAAAATATCTCCAGAGGCTTATCCTCTCGGTCACGGACGGAGGAAGCACACCCATCCGCATCCACCTCTCCATCTCCGTCGGCTCCCATCCCCGTCTCCTCCGCATCCCAGTGCCGCATCCCCATCTCCTTCGCCTCCCCATCTCCCCATCTTCCATCTCCTCCGCATCCCAGTGCCGCATCCCCATCTCCTTCGCCTCCCCATCTCCCCGTCTTCCATCTCCTCCACATCCCAGTGCCGCATCCCCATCTCCTCTGCCTCCCCATCTCTCCGTCTTCCATCTCCTCCACATCCCCGTCTTCCATCTCCTCCCCATCGGGCATGGCTGGCGCTAGGCGGCGCCGACCGCCTAGCCTGGATTCGCCGCCGTACCTGGGCGAAGCAGCGTGGCGCAAAGCTGAGAGGCAGCAGCAGCAAAAGCTATGGGAACCCCGAGCCCGTTGTCAAGCCGGCGGTCTGCGACGGTGATGTGGCCTCCAAGCATGCCCTAAAGCTAGGGGCGGCGGTGGCGACGGGACATGCTCCCCCAAGCTAGGGAGCGGCGGCCACGATGTTAGCCAAAAGCGTGCCATTGAGGTTGGAGATGGAGGCGACGGCGGCAGCTACGGTCCCAAAATGGGTACCTGCGACTACGATGGGAGCCCGAAGCACGTCATGGAGGTGGGGGCCAGCGGCAGCTGCGGCCTGAAGCCTGTATTGGGGAGTTGTGGTAGCGATCCCATCCGGAAGGGTGTTGTGGCGGTGGAGGGCGGCATTGATGGCACCTACGCTCTCAACTTGGGGAGCTGCGGCCGCAATGGGAGCCCGAAGCACATCGTCGAGATGGGCTGCGGCGATGGGATCGAACAGGTCGGAGACGGGAGCAACGTGCGCAGGTGCCGCAACGAACGTGGTCGGCTACGTGTGGACTGCGAGGGACAGTTATATGTTCTCGACTCAGAGGCTAAAGACAGTGCCTTGGAGGAGAACTGCCGTCCAAAGCTCCGCCAAGGTCGATGGGCCCATGGCTGTCGAGTTGCTACAACCGGCAAGGTGCCCTTGGAGGTGGGCACAATCAAAGCTACCACGGTTGCCGACGACATACTAACCGAAGAGATGGTTCAGTGCATGGAGCTTTGGCTTACTGGCATCAAAGAGGCCAACCGGGAAGTCTTTGTCAGCATGATCAAGGTTGCCTTCACTTCCTTCTACATCCCGTACTAGCTAGTTCATGTGATGTGTGCGTAGTATCTGTGATGACGAAGTGCTGCTTTTGTGTGTCTCACTGACTATGATATGTAGTGTGGTCAGATTTCAACTAGCTAATCGAAGTTAGCTTTTGGGTATGAATTATGTTAGTCAGTTAACTAGCTCAATATTGAAATTAGTTTTTAGTTACCAACATTGCTTATCGATCCCAACAGCCTATCAGCATAGTGTCATATTAACCGGGTATTCAGATTGCCTTCTGAACTATCTCCCTGTCACAACTAAGAGATTTGGGAAGCATGCCTGCTGCCTCCAGCCTCTCCTTATTCATGTGGGGGATCTTATACCTATTTCCTCCATTATCTTTCATAACTTCAATCATGCATCCTTGTAGCGTGAGGAATACCCTATTCAGAAGAATAGGGTTGTAGTTTTCATATTCATTGATCACATTCGCGATGAGCTCATCCACGTTTCTAGATGTCGTTCTATCTGTCAACGACTGCAGAGAAGCAAAGAAACCAAGGTCTAGGCAATTCATATCAGGTGAATCAGCAGGTTGATTCATTATGCGTATATTAAGGCCAGTTTGGGCAACTGCTTCTCATCTGTCTAGATGCATGTACATAGTCTTATTCTTTCTTGTCCCATTGAACCACTTCTC